ATCCTCCCTTCCCCAGACCCTCCTTGCTATTACTCATGCTCTTGTTTAGGGTGAGTCCGTATGAACAACAGCACGTAACATAAGTGATGATATATCACTTGCAAGGTAGTTATAAAAGACTGGCTGCATAGGAGAGTAGCAAGCAAAATAACTAGGAAACCTCAAGTTCATTCCCTCACAGGAATATTTTTTAAAACCCTGTTAGAACCAACTTCACTAGTGCTCTGAAAAATGGTCATAGATTGATAGCAAACAAGCCATCTCCAAGGTGATAGGAAAGTTGGGGGGCATTTTCCCACCCTTCTTCCTCCCTTCCCCAGAGCAGCAGCATTCCAGTTCTACAGTTCCTCAACTAGAGTGAAATGCAGCCTTTACTCAAGAACCTGTTTGAGAACAGGCTCCTCTGTTCTGACTTGCCTGTGGGACACCTGAACTACTAATGTGATTCACTTTCAATTACCCTTCCTTGGGCCTTGAGAGGCAAAAGCAATGGGCACTGCAGGGGAAGGATGGCAGCTGGACTAGCGATTCTGAGATGCCTGACCCAAGAGATTCCCAGCAGAAGCAATAGACTAACGTATTTTTGAAGTGAGAATGAGCCTCACTAACTAGAAAATGAGCATACACAAGCAACCATGTATGCAAGGGAATTTAGAAAGCTCCACGCGTCACACAAAAACCTGAGGTGATATGCTTTCACTTTAGTTCCTAGTAGCATCAGAGCAAGTCTAACAGGGGTGTCAACAAGTTGCAAAGACTGGGAGTAGTTTTGTTGTTGTTTTTAATATTTGTCCTGTTTAAGTCCTGGCATTTAAAGATAACTACCAAAGCAGTAACATAACATGAGCTAAAGGAACAAACACTTCAACTAAGAAATGGAATACACAGCCTTCAATAATTAAAAAGCAGTAAGCCTGCTTGGGGGAAAATCTGATTTCTAGATTTATCAGTCACAATTACTAAATGCTCAATTTTCAGGCAAAGAAATCACAAGGCACATAAAGAAACAGGATGTAAGATGAGTAAGCTTTAAAGGAACAAAAAGAGAAAATGTCAGTATTTAGGGAAAAGAAAAACTCATGCAGGATATTAAGACAGACTGAATCAATTTCATTGGCATTAAAAGTTTTTATTTGGAATTTAATCCACAATCTATACGGTATTTACAAAGCATGAAAATGGAAAACAGCACAAAATACAATTGAGGTATAAGCTAAGAGCACAGTATGTCATGTTTCAATAAATATAATTCAAAATTTGTAAACTAAGTGACCAGATAGATGAGTCTTGTTTTATAGTAAAACCATATAAAATATTTATTTCACGTGAGGTAGAGGACAGTTTTGTGTGTCATGTAATGCAACCAACCACAGCAATGTTAACCATAAAACTGTGCATCATTGGCAACATTTTAAATTGAATTATGGTCAATGTGGTCAACTATTTGTTTCAACAGGCAGAAACAGCTATTTCACTTACTGCTTTCACAGATTTAGAAGTTTGGAAGTAATTAAACTCAGAAATAATAGTAAGACTACTGTTAGCCTAAAATTATCAGATAAACCTTCTAATAGGCTGGTTAAAAACAAATATATTTTTCCCCAAACTATAATTTCCTAGGTGACTGAGATTTAGCAAATTTTTTAGTAGGACTTTTTTTTTTTTTCCTAGAACTACTTTTAAGTATGCTGTGCTTCATTTTCAAGTGAGGTATCTATTTTGAAGGAAAAAAATCTGATAAATTTCTTTTACATTCAACTAACTTAATACACTATTTTGTTTTCTGGGCTGAACTTTTAAATTTTATTTTATATATATGATCACTAATTCAAAAACAGTAGCACTATAGAAAACATTTAATTCTATTACTAAAGAAACAAGCTCCAAATTGCAGTATGTAGTTTAGAAGTGATTTAAATGGAAGAATTCTTTTTAAAAAGGCTATCCTTTTAAACAAGATGCAATATAGAATATCCATACAACTTTCTTTCAATAATGGAAATGCTTAAGTATCCTATACTAGAAAAAAAATTGAGCTACTTAAATTATTCAATCTCACAATGTATAAAACAGCAGTAATGTGTCCCTTATTGCTGACAGCTTCAATAAAAACTATTAACAAGTAGTTCCAAGCACAGAAACAGATGTACAGTATGAGCACTTTTTATATTAATTTTTAATGTCCTGTAGATTAAAAGTATAAGAGCAACTATAATAAGGATTATCCCTAAGTAATCAAAACATAACTCTTTTTACTGAGAAAATTTTAGAAGTTGATCAAAAACCTTCAGTACCAACTAATTACAGGGAGATCACTTGAGTATGTTTATTACTTGAGTGTCCTTGTTACTGTACTTCCAACAGAAGCCAGGTATGCAATAAATTGATTACCATCATGACTTCTAAGATACATGGATAACCTGTGAATATCATTGTACTTGGTCTATTTCTTCACTGGTTTTTAATTCAATATATACAAATTACTTTATATCTAAACTGGCAATATATTAAATATGTTATAAAATTAGTTTAAGAAGCATAAAACATCCTAATTCTCAAGGATATGGGATTTCAAGAAGAATATGCTTTACAAAACTAAAGCACAAGCGAAACTTACACACTGTTGGATCAAATTCACTCAGTGTTACAAGTTGCATTTGTGAAATTGTGATGGTATTAGTTTCCTCAATGACAGCAGGTTATACCTTTACTGCCTGTATAGGTTTGGTACATTTTTCTCATAAATGTTTACAGACACTATCAATATCCCAATTAAACATTACCCATTACCCTGAAAGCTAATATTCTAATCTCTTTTCTTCCTTCTAAAGACACTCTAGCACATTCGGTAGGCCATTTCTTTAATGCAACTTTTTAAAGTAAATATTTTTAAACTTTTTCCTAAAAGGAATAAAATTATCAAATCTGAAGGAAAAATCTGCTTGCTTAATGAATTGGTATGCAAAAACTAACACCAAAACAAACTTTAAGCTAGCAACCAACACACAAAAGGAGCATGCAAAAAACTAGAAGAATAAGTTTATATGGATATTTCAGCAGAGGTCACTTTTAAAAGAATTACAAAATCTATATATTTCCAAGCTATATGATGCAATTTAACTTAAAGTTACTTTTAACTAGAATAGGTGTATTTACAATTGACTAAAAAACTATTTTCCAGGAAGCTAGACCAAAACCTATGGCACATCAACATATCTTCTAGAAAACGAAGACTACACAATTTTATGTGGCAAATTTTCATTTTGGGAAGGATTAGGAAAAAAGAATATATGGTAATTTAAAGGTACTTAAACACTGCTTAGAACTTTAAAATAATGTATTTCAAAGGTTAAGCAATTTATTTTAAGTTTTGGGTAAAAACCTAAGTAAGCTCATCATTTACTAAGTAACAATCAGAAAGGTTTCTGTGAATTAGAAAAGTAAAGGAAACTAAAGGGGCTTAAGTTTGTCTCCCAAAAAGCTTAGTGTAACACAACTAATTCACAACTACAATAACAATGGCACTAACATAAAATGTCTGATTTTTCTTTCTCCAGATCTAAACAAAATATTGGAAGGGTATGTCATTTTCATATTTGTTCCTCCTTGAGGAAATGCCAAGAATAAATAAATTAAATTCAGGGCAAAATTTAAATAGAAAATAGACATTTAAAACATACTTTGGCCCCCCCCTCCATAAAAAAAAAAAAACACTACACTTTTGGAAATACAAAAATTATATTAGGATATGTAAGTACCATTTTAGCAGAGTATAAAAATAACAGGTAAAATGAGAGCCTACAGATTTTTTTGAACTTACACACCATTGGAGTATCTGTGGTCTATGCTGGAAGAGGCATATCATCTTAACCTTAAATTCTTTTCATGTCAAGGGATAATATGCCAGTGTTATAACAAGGCTTGAGAGAGGCACATCTCATACAATGGTGTGAATACTCAATTATCACACTTAATGAAGCCAAAAGGATCACATTTATTTTAAAAATAAATTTAGTTCAAGTAATTTCATACAGTACCTTATATGAGAACATGAGAAAACACAATTGATGGGATAATAATGTCAATTAATGATAGCTTCAGAAAACTTCCTTTTAAAAAAAAAATGCATACCAAGAATTTTACCTGATATCTAATATAGGCCAAGAATTAATTAACATGAAATGTGCCATTAAACAATGACAGAATTTTCTGTGCAAAAAAAAAAAAAGTGCAGAAGACCTTGCCCCTCCCCCAAACTATGGAATTCCTGTCTCCTAAAAATTATTTAAAAACCATTTAGTAGCAGATAACTAAACTTCCCCATATTAGACTATCATATACTATCTACCAACTGTTAAGTTCCTGATTTTGATATTAAGTAGTAATTGAAAATGGTCCCAATCGTGCAAATTTTGATAAGACTTAACATTTAAACATACAAAAGTTCAAAATAACCTTCAAGGTGTTTAATATTTTACAATTTAAAGGAAAAAATCCATTAAGGAAAACAAATCCATCATATAAATTTCAGTAAAACCCGTAACTACATATAAAAACTGTACAGAAGCATTATGGATTATATAGAAACTGATGTACATCAATGGTATCAGTTAATCTCAAAACATTAATATTTTCACACCACTATTAACAACAAACAAAAGTTCAAAAATCACTACATTTCATTCCCTCCTCTGAAGTTGCTGCATTAAAAAAAATTCTAAATATAACCACATTAAAACTGAAAAACTCTACTTCGTGTGTTAGCAGCAGTGTATAATAAAGCATGTCATCTTTCTCCATTTTGCCTATAGATGTGCTATAATTTCATCACTGAAATGACTCTTGACAAAATGTCTCCTAGGAGACATTTAAAAAAAAAAACTTGTGAAAATTCAATCTATAAGCTGAACAAAATAAAAGCAAGTTTTGTATATAATAATGACTATGCTATCAATTTAAAGACTGTTCATGAAAAAAAAAAAGGAGATTTAACTCCTTGAGTGGCTTTATATATTTGAAATACCCACCACTGTACCGAAAATATTTCAAATGTGAATAAATTGACCACAACTCTTTCCATCACATAATGCAGCTTTTAAAAAGTATACAACTGTTGAATTTGCATTAGAAATATAGGCAGATTATCTATTATTTGGAACCATACAATTATTGTTACTAAGCTGGTTGGGAAAAAAGGTACAAACAAACATACATTTCATTCATTTGGAAAATGTGAAAATTTATGTACTAATATATAATTTCTCCACATTTTCTCTGATCTACAAGTGGAAAGAATGCCTAGTTATTTTCATGCAGATAAAGTGTTCAGTATTCAGTTACCAAGAAAAATTAAAACAAACAACAAAAAAACAAATAAAACCATGTTAAGAATACATATATGAATCTCTTGAAAGTTTTCTATTCTTTAGCAGCCTTTGAGGATTTCAAAATTTGCAGCTTTAGCTCTTTTATCATCATTTCTAACTTCTGTCTTGCCTCCCGTTCCTGTCTGAGTTCATCTTGGAGTTCTTGTCTGTCAGCCTCAGCATGGTCCAACCTCTGTCTCAATTCAGCCAACTGCGATTTAAAATATTCCATCAGGTTTCATTCAGTTTAAGTGTTTCATTTAATCCTCACCTCATGGCAAAGATTTTTCAAATTCCTTTTCACAAATGAACTATTTCACACATACTATAATCTCTTGAATATCAAATGTCATTATTAAGCAGACATCTGGCATAACATTAAACTGAGGGGAAAACGAGAATCAAGGAAATGAACACCAAAAGAAAGCACTTTCATTAAACCCCACACTTTAATATACCTAGTCACAGCCTCCCCACATTACCTGTTCATTCATCTTTCTGAGGATAAGTATGGCTAATCATTTTTTGCTCCAGTGCTCTGAACGCAGTGGGCAATAGTTCATGTTTGTTAATTTGAAAATTCATGTACTACATTAAGATAATCTAACATTAGATGTTTGGACAGCTACCAATTAACAATTTAGGCAACTCAAGCACAGAAACCCAGTAAAAGTTAAAAGCAATAAAGTGATCGGATCCTCCCTGGTGGCTCAGCGGGTTAAAGCACTGCACTGAGAAGCTAAAGCCACCTCCACATGAGCTTGATTCCCGCCTGCCCCGGAGGTGAACACATGGCGTGGCAGACTTCTCCTGACCCGCCCGCTGCTCCCCTCAGCAGTGTACTTCGTCCATCTGCCTGTTCTGCTCCCCACTCTGTCTCTGGTGGGGCCTCTCACCGCCCCTGAGCCTCTGGCCTGTATCCCAGTTCTGTATGTACAAATAAATAAATCTTAAAAAAAAAAAAAAGGTAATAAAGTGATCAAATATGATATAGCATAAAGGTGCATTAAAAAAAAATACCTGTTTTGAAGTCTAGCCTAGTAAAATAAGTTTAGTAAAAAGTAATTTCTCTATTAGAGAAACAACAGCTTTAGTTTCCACGATGAATGGGCAACATTAGACAAACTGAGTAATTCTTACCTGTGCTGCATATTCGGCCTCTTTGTCTTTTTCTAAATTTGAGTCACAGGTACATTTTTGCTTCATTACCTGCTCTAACTTTTTCTCTAGGTCTTTCTGTTCAACATAAAATTCTTCCATTCTTTGAGTGTGTTCATTCTGCAAAGATTCAAGTTCTTTCTGTAGATTTTGCTGTTCCTCAGTGAGTTCCTTCATTGCTTTTGAGCCACTTAACATTTCAACTTCCTGTAAAAAAAAAAAAAAAAACACAAAATAATTTTTACCTTTCCCCCATCATATTAAAAATGTCAATTCAGAAAATGCTCAACCTCACTTATTAGGGAATTGCACATCAAAACCACAATGACTATCATCTCACACCAGTAAAATGGCCAGTATCAAAAAGCCGAGAAATAATATATGCTGGTGAGGATGCAAAGAAAGAGAAACTCTCACTTTTTGTTGATGGAATACAAAGTGGTACAGCCTCTCTGGAAACAGTATGGAGATTCTTTCAAAATATTTAACAGAAAAAGTATATGACGCAGCAATACCACTTCTAGGTTTTTATCCAAACAGGAAATCACTGATTCAAAAACATATACGCACTCCTATGTTTGTATCATTATTCACAAATGCCAATACATAGAAACAATCTAAATGCCCATAAACAGACAACTGGATAAAAAAGTTAGGGCAATCTACTCAGCTAGTTAAAAGCTGAAATATTGGGGCCCTCCCTGGTGGCGCAGCGGGTTAAAGCACAGCACTGAGAATCTAAAGCCACTTGCGCATGAGTTCGATTCCCGCCTGCCCCGGAGGTGACCACATGGTGTGGCAGACCTCCCCTGACCCGCCCGCTGCCCCCCTCAGCAGTGTACTTCGTCGATCCGCCTGTTCTGTTCCCCGCTCTGTCTATGGTGAAGCCTCTCACCGCCCCTGAGCCTCTGGCCTGTACCCCAGTTCTGTATGCAAAAATAAATAAATCTAAAAAAAAAAAAAAAAAGCTGAAATACTGTTTTTGCAACATGAACAGAACTTGAAGTGGTTGTGCTAAGTGAAAACTAAAACACAATTATTGAATAATTTGTTCTTGTGTGGCATATACATAAAGCAAAACAGCTAACAAATCACAACAAAAATAACTCTTTAGATGCTGAAAAACAAGGCAGGTAGCAGAAGGGGAGGGGGAAAAGATGTGGCATGAAAGGAGAGCAAGGAATCAATCTGAGTGTAGGGATGGCACTAGAACTCTGAAATTGAGTTTGGTGAGACACACACAAATATCAAGGTGCTGCTACCCCAGCACCTCTGGCCTATACCTCAGTCCTTGTATGCATATATAAAAATAAATCTTAAAAAGAAAAAGAGAATATGCAAAAGTGTCTTTTCATAATAAACTATTAGATAAAAATTTACCATTTGAAGTTGTTGTTTCTTTTGTAAAATAGAATTTAGTTTTTCCTGTTGTTTTACGTAAGTTCTCATTACTTCTTCCATGATTTTTCCCTTATCATCTTCACAAATGACATCTTTGACAAAAAGTGGAGATGAAGTTGCAGCATCACAGCCAATTCCCATCTTGCTTGTGTCTCTGACTAAGTTGCAAGTGACAGATTCAGGTTTCTTTTTACCTGTAGAATTACTTGAGATCGATGGCTCTATGAGGCAAAAATGAAGTAACAAATTATAAAAAAAAAAAATCACTAGAACAGTGCCTTCCTGGTGGTGCAAGGGGCTAAGTCTCAGCACTCACTATGAAGCTATCTACAGCCACTGCAGCACGAGTTCGATCCACAGCCAGTGAGCTGACCCACATGGTACAACAGACTTCTATCTCACCTACTGCTTCCCTCAGCAGTCTTGTATGTATTAATTTATAAATTTTTTAAGATACTAGAAAACAAGCTATAAATTAAATCAATGGCATTTATTTACAAATTAAATACTTATGAATAAATTTAACAATAGGAGTACAATGAAAACTATAATGCTTTCACAATGAAAACTACAAAACATCACTGAAAAAAATTAAGATAAATAAGTGGAATGGCATCCCAATGTTTATAAACTGGAAAACTTAGTATTGTTAAGATGATAACTAAACAGAATGTTAGTGAACACCACACATTCTTATACTGAAAGCCCAACCCCCATGTAATGGAAATAGGAGGCACAGCCTTTGGGGGATACTTTTATGTCATGAGTGCCCATGATGAAATGTAGGTTCCTATAAAAGAGATCCAAGAGAGGCCCTCACCTTTTCTAGCACATGAAGACTTACAGTGAGAGATGGCCACCTGTGAACAGGCCCTTACCAGACAAATCTAGATTCCCTAGCCTCCAGACCTATGAGAAATATATGAAGTATATGATAAAAGCCACTCAGCCGATGGTATTTTTGTTATGGCAACCCATATAGACAAAAGTAAGTGGCATTAATCCCCAGATGAATCTACTTTTTCAATGTTAACTTTGCAGCAGAAATTGACAAACTGATTCTAAAATTCATATAGAAATGCAAGGGAGCAAAAATAGTCTAAACAATCTTTTAAAAAAATTAATATGCAAAATCCCCAATTTCAAACTAATTACAAAGCTATGTGTCAAGACCATGCATAAGAGCTAAATGGGGGGGGGGGGAGACAACAACATACTTTATGGATAAGTAGCTTTCAACAAAGTTGCCAAACATTTCTATCAGAAGAAAATAGTCTTTTCAACAAATCATGTTGGGACAACTGTATCCACATACAAAAAATAAGACTGAATCTCATTTAACTCAAAATGAATCATAGACCAAATATAAGAGCTCAAACACTTAAATGTAAATCTTTGTGGTCTTGACTTGGGTAATGGTTTCTTAAGCATGACACCTAACGCAAGACAAGAAGTCTAAAAATTGAACTTCATTAAACTTAAGACTTTTATGCTATGGGGCCTCCCTGGTGCTGCAGGGGTTAAAGTCTCAGTACTATCAAGCTATCTCCAGCCACTGCAGCAAGAATTCAATCCTAGCCAGGTTGATAATCCGCATGGCACAGCAGACCTCTGTCTCACCCACTGCTCCCCTGAGTAGTGTATTTCAGTACATCTGCCTGTTCTGCTCCTCCACTTTATGAATCCTCTCATGCCCTGCATCTCTGGCCTATACCTCAGTTCTTTTTTGCATAAATAAATAAAAGTAAATCGACTTTTTAGTAACTTGGGTGGAGCTGGAAAAGATCATGCTTAGTGAGATAAGCCAGAAAGAGAAAGAAAAATACCAGATGGTTTCACTCATAGCAGGAGTACAATGGACCAGGCGAGAAAATAACAAAAATAATGAACAACCATATACCAGAGACATTTTGCGGGGGTGGAGTGGAGAATGGGATCAAAAAACCGGGGGGGGGGGGGGGGGGGGGGGGGGGGGGGGGGGGGGGGGGGGGGGGGGGGGGGAGTGCACGGGATTGTGGTGATGGCACACGGGTGATGGGAAACCCACGGGGATTACAATTGAGATGGGAAAAAAAAGTACAAAATGATGTAAAAATAAACTGTTATAATATATATATAGAGAGAGTGCAAAATAAAATTTTTCTTTGAAAAAAAAAAAAAGATAGGTACATAAATTCATAAAATTTAAGGCTAACATTGCTATATTTACCACAGTGATGATTGGCTAAAATAAAGTCCCTTTAAACTTAAAAAAAAAAAAAAAAAGTAAATCAACTTTTTATACTCCAATGGACATTAACAAGAAAATGAAACTGACAAAATGGTAAATCATGTATCCTGTAACAGTCTCACATTCAGAATATGTAAAGAATTCTTATTTCAACCCACCTTTTAAAAAGCAAAGGATCTGAAATAAACATTTCTCCAAAGTAGAAAAATCTCAAAATTAAAGTACAGAAAATCTCCAAAAGTCTAGTTACATATAAAAAGTTACATGACTAGAGAACGCTATCTGTTCTGAGGCAGCTGTCATAAGGTCTAAGCTACATGCAAAGCTTTGTTGCTACAGGAGGGTAATATAGATAGCACTCGGGCAGAATCTTCTTGCTGGTCCACAGTATTTTAAAAGGCATGGTAACTAGGCAGCCTATTTTTTTAGATGTCCAGTGAGCATTCTGCATTTCTACCATCTGCCTCTCTTCTACTGATAGGAATTTTCAGTTCTTGCTTATTTCATAACTATGTTTCCCTAATGTCTATGCTTAACTACTCTCACATTTACTGCTAGCATTATTACCTAAATAGTTTCTCAGTTCACAGCAAATTAGAAAAAAAAAATAAAGACCTACTAAAGAAATCTGACAGCAAAGAGTTGGGGAGCAGGAAATCAAGCAAAAATCTTCGCAATGTGTGGCTATGAAGTCTATATACCAATCTTGTCAGTCTCCATGCATTCACTAGTCTAGAAAAGTATAGCAATTGAGGTTCAAAGTAATCATTCATTTTTGAAAATGCACTTTTAAATGGCACTTTTAAAGTAAAATCATCAATTATCTAGAAATTTCTCTTAAATATAAAGCCTCTGAAAATACTGAGTTTATTAGATACTTAATGTTAAAAAGATAATTTGTGAATACTTACCTAAACGACTACTTAATTCTCTACTCGTTTTTAAATCCAATTTCTCTTGTTCCTCAAGAGAGACATCTGGGTAAGACACCGTTTTCTGATGCCTTCCACTACCATGAGGTTTCTCCGACTGCCGTGGTACAGATCTATTTGCCTCTGTCTTTGTGCCCTCTTTAGATTGGGAGACAGCAGAAGTGAGTGATACATTCGGAGCAACCACCTTATCACACATGTATAAGTAGTAGCTAAAAACAAAGAGGCAAAATAAGGCACATCATAAAATTAGGGAAAAAGAAATATTTTTAGCAAAACCAACAAAACAATTCAGAAAAATAACAGCCATAGGAAAGGAATCTTTGAAAAAGACAGTACTTCTGGCAGTAAGAGCAAAAGTATGAGGGATTTTTATTATTTTACCAAAAGTAATTTCTAAGCACTAAAAAGCACTTAGGGTTAAAAAAATCACTCTCTTCTTTCTTCAAAACCACCAACAATTAAAAGCATGAAAGCTGCTTTAACAACTCTGAGTAGAGACTAAATGCTACTTTGGAGAACAGTTTCTTTGTCCACAACCTCTCGAAAGACAAAAAATCCTTACTCTTAGTTATGGTGAGGCTGATTTGGCCCCACACTGCATGGCCATGGTCTGATTTCACTACAGGCCCAGTGAGGAGCTCCCAGGGCTCTTCATATAAATCAAATAGAGAATAGATACTCCAAATGTGCCCAGCTTTAGGGTAATCCTCATATCAAACCCCACCAAGCAATCATCCTAAAATGCTTGAGTATCTCCTACTTATGTGATAAAAGACATAATAAATTGTTTAAAACTAAGATTCAAGGAATAACACCAACCATGCTCAAATCTCATATAAAATTGCTCTGGATACTGAAGTTCCACATTACTAACTATAATCTGCATAGTCCTTAGCTTAAAACCATTTAACTGATATAAAATTTCCTCCACTAAAGTCTAACCTCTTATTTTCTTTCTCAGGGATATTATTTACCACTCACATGAATTCTAAGAATAAAAATTCAATATTCTGCTAAGAAAACTGACAGGTTTATTATTGCCCAAAGACTTACTTCAAATATAATAGGAATAGAAGGAACTGTACAAGTGTAAAAAGACTAAAGATTCTTCATCATCATGCTAGGGAGATATATATATTTATAGCATCAAATAAAAATCTAGGACTCAATATATGGCTCATAATCTAAGGTACATTTTTATTGAATATACGAAAACTTTATTTTGAGGGATGTGGTTATTAAGAAAATGTCTAAATTTCAAAAATTTTCTTTTTAAGACATCAAAGTTGCAGTCAAACTCTTGAAGAGTTGTCTTAACTTTTGAAAAAAGAAAGGAAATTAAAGGAAAGCTTTCATTGTTTTACTTTGGGGCAAAGAGGAGATGACCTATTTCTAGAAAAAAATACAGAAACACTATGAAAAGTTTTCTCAAATATTCAACACTATTTATGATTTCAGATTGTTTGATTCATTTCCTAATCAGTGATTAAGTTCTACAATTTTCGTATAGTACAAAAAAGAAACAGATGATAATATTACTTTTCACCTAGCTAATTTTGAATTTTCAAAGACAATTTATAATTAAGAAGCCTAAAAGTAAGTACAGACTCCCATGGTCAAGAACAGTGCTTGCCACATATCTGTTGAATAAACCAACAAATGAATGAGCAAATATTCAACTTACCTGGGATGCAAAAATGAATGTGTCTGTGAAATATGGTCACCTTCCTGCTTTATAACAGGATACCATGACTGTAAATCCATTCCTGATGGTGTATCAACCTACAGAAAAATGGAGAAAGGAGTTTATTGAAGGGAGAGATAATGGTTTGTTTCAATGTGAAATGGCAACAAGGTACCACTAGAGGTCCCTGAAAACTTAAGTTACATTACCTATCTTCTAATGGGCAATCTCCCTTAAATAAATGCTATATCTCCTCACTGAAAACTCAGAAGCTACTACACCATCACAAGAAGTCTCAGTACACATGTTAACATGGATAACCAGAAATAATTTCATCAAATTTCATGCTTACAGAATCTATTTTAAAAAATAGTACTCTGCAAATATATAGCACTGGGAAGTTCTGCTGCTTCTTGCTAATATAATCATCTAGAATCTACCCTCATCCCTACAATATTTGTTAGCATGTTAAGTGACATTATATAGTAATAAATGCTTTGTTTTTAACACTTATCAGTATGTTTTATTTCCTCATAAATATGAAACCCTATTTTTAGCACTGAAGGATGAACTATACCTACTGACATAGGAAAAGAAAGTAATTAGCTACTTAATGAACATCTCACATAATTTTATACAGGGGCATCCCTTGTGGCCTAGGATTTAAGTCTCAGCACAGCCTGGGTTTAATCCCTGGCAAGGGAGCTGACCCACACATGGCACAGCAGACCTCTCCTATCTAGTCTGCTGCTCTCAGCAGTGTACTCAGTAAATCTGCCTGCTCTGCTCTCCACTCTTATCTCTGGTAAATCCTCTCATCTCTCACACCTTTGGCCTATACCCCAGTCTTCTACACAAAAATACATAAAATCTTTTTTAAAAAACAACTTTATACAAATAAGTATAACTATTTGCTATTTCTGACATGTCCTTAAATATTTATAACTTAAATATCTCATTAAATAATCATCTTTATTGATATTTCAGATTAGACAACTGAAGTTCTGAAACTGAAAAAGAAAAAAATAACTTGTGATTTCCAAATTCCTCCTTAATTTGATTGTCTTACATTTTGTCTCTCTTTCTACATATTTCTCACTTCAGATACTCCACTGTATTTTTAAGAAAAGAGTACCTTAACATGAGAGGTAAGATCCACTGGTGGAGGGGACAAAGAGCTGATAGGAGGCATGATTCAGGTAAACAAAAAAGGTAAACAATTAAACCCAATCAAAGGCAATAAAATGAACTGGGGATGATATAAAGAATAAGACAAAAAGAAGAAGAGTCAGACATTCTTCTGAGAAGCTCTCTCCCTTCTGCAACTAGGTAAGGAGTCTGGGGAATGACAACCTCACAGCGCTATCTGGGAACAGCCACTAAATAAAATACCAAGAAGTTAGGAATATTCATTTTCCTAATGTCCCAGTATCGTAATTCAGAATGGAAAAACTAAGTGAAATGGAATGAAAACAGATCTCCCAATGCTAAGAAGTTGTGATGAAAGCAAAAGATTCACAAAGTGCCAATGGTTTTACTAAGGAGATCCTGATAAAAATGGAAGTCATTGAGGGTACAGAAACTTGGGAGGTCTGACAAGTAACCCAGTGCACCCCAACAAAACTGGTGAAACATCATGAAGCACACTATACTTGGTCAATCAGGAGATTATTTAAGGAACATGAGTTAGATCCCCAGTCAGGGAGGTAATCCACATGGCGTGGCAGACCTCTCCTGTCTTGCCCAACATGTATTTCAGTACATCTGCCTGTTCTGCTCCCCACTCTGTCTCTGGTGAATCCTCTAACCCCATATACCTCTGGCCTATACCTCGTTCTTATATGTATAAATAAATCTTTTTTAAAAATAAAAAGTAATGGGTAAGGAATTTGAAAAGACTAACCCTACCACAGGATTACAGGGAAGAGAATATTATTTTAAACGGATTTAAGAGTTGAATATTCAGTGAAGCCCCCTAAATTCTATATAGAGAACTGTTTTTAAACCACACAATCCTGACCAAATAATCTGAAGTTCAGACTCTCAGATAAATTCCACTGCTTATTTATAAAATAAGCCAATCACTTGTTTACATACTTTCTCAGTCTACAGTTTAGTTCTACCAGCAAATCAGAAAGGGAACTGACTGCCAGCAACAGAAATACTAAATGATTACATACTAGATGAAGTCTGACAGCCTAAGGAAAGAAAAGAACTACAAAATGCTAACACAAAAACTGACTCAAAATGCAAAACAATCTGAGGCTTCAGCATAAGCCAGAGCAAGTAATTTAATATTTCTCAATTGTCCTCTACCTACCCTTCTCACAATATAGTAATGAATGTTTAAGAAGTCTTAAGTCAACATAACACAGTAAAATTATTTTCTCTATTTATAACATAAACAATATACCATATTTAGGAAGATTGGAAACTACTTAAGACATTTTAGAATCCATGAGAAAGATAAAACTCTGAAAAATAAGAATGCTTAGAAGTGTGCTTCATGATCTAGAAAATTGACTTACAAAATTCCCTTTAAACTTAAACACTGTGTAATAAAATAAGTAAGCTCATGCTACCAAACCAATGACATATAAAATCAACTAGAAATGAGAATTTCTTCTCTAAAAGTCATTTGTTAAAAACACTATTTAGAAAATAAGGAAAATACTTTGGTTTTATATCTGAAGCCATGCTGGATATATTGCCCAATAAATCAATGGTTTTCTCATTTTTATATTAAAATTACCAAAATCAATTTGCATATTTATATTTTTTCCTATTATGGGTATTTGGAATCTCAAATTTTCAGAATAACAAATTCTAAACTTATTAGACAAAGACCTTGACTTAAAACCTCATTCAATTTCGATCATTAAGTTCATTTCAAAACTTTGCTTTCTTCATAGTCCAAACTTAGTGTTTCTTTATTTCTTTGAAGTCTCCTAACCTTTAGATACCTCCTTAAACAACTACTGAATACTCATATTTTTTAAAAAATCCATCCTTAAGTTACTGTCCTTTATTTTTATTTCCTATCTTCACACCAATCCAGTGACAGACACTTCCTTTAAAGATCACCTAGGGCAAAACCCTAGTCAATGTCTGGAATTTTCCCTATGCAAAATCCTAACAAATGGCAATCAGCTTCTGCTCCAACAGCAGCTGGAGGTCCAGGACTGTCTTACATTTGTATTTTCAGTACCTAGCACCAAGCCTGCTTGTGCTAGAATCAATAAATATTTTGATGAATGTTGAAATGCCAGCTTAGCTTATTAATTCTCAGTGTGCTTTTTCACAAAGTTACTCTGCTACCACAAAAACTCAGCCTCTTTCATACTCAATAGCCTTATATTCTATGATGTACCAAAGAAAAGTCCCAGGGATGTATTTTTTGAGAATAGATCTACAAACAACATAAATGATGGAATAAATGCACAACACTAACATGATAAAAGTTGAGAATTAATTTTACCTAATATGCTGTGGTAAGCCATAAACATATTTATAGCAAATTATCTCAACTGTCTGTTAAAAACAGTTAAGAAAAGCACATATTATACAACAGAACATTCACAGGCATGCCAGATTTTCTCAAATCTGCATTTGTGTCAACATACAAATCAGGTCTTCAAAAAAAGAACAGTATAATTAAAAGGCACCAAAGTACTGATCATGAATAAAAATTAGATACTAGGATATAGTACCTATTTCCTCTTATCATACACTGCAATGTGGGGCTAATTTATTCTCTTTGTGTATTTAAACAAAATAGAATAAGCTACAATAACAAAGGAGAGAAACAGATCACTCAGTAGTTTAAGTTAAATGCTTTAACATTTTTAAATACTCTTATCACCTAACTACCCCACCATCATCAACCACAAAATGAAGAGACGATATCTTCATCTGAATCACCTAAGAAAAAAAATCTCGGATAATCTATTTCATTCTAAATTCTAAGTCAATAAGGCAACAAATACCACCTATGGATGCAAAATTTTAGCAATCCCAAAACATAAAGCATAATTTATTTTAAATTATTATTATTTAAAATAGGAAATGTTTTATGAAAATTTTTCTAAATTTTTCTAAATTACTATGTTATACATACAAGACACTTTTATAATCAGATTTCCAAATAAAAGCAGCATTATGTTTTGGTAATACAATGCTTACTAGTCTCATAGTGACAATTTAGAGGTTGATTTTATTTAGCAAAAAAAACAATAAGCATTTTTGTTGTCACTTTCTAGATACAAAAGCAATTCAATCCACTCGGCACTAGTCATGTACAAATATTCCAATTTGTACCCAAAAAAGGCAAAACACTTTAAAATTCCTAGACTTGGCCCTCCCTGGTGGCGCAGCGGGTTAAAGCACAGCACTAAGAAGCTAAAGCCACTTCTGCATGAGTTCGATTCCCGCCTGCCCCAAAGGTGACCACATAGCGCAGCAGACGTCTCCTGACTCGCCCACTGCTCCCCTCAGCAGTGTACTTCGTAGATCTGCCTGTTCTGCTCCCCACTCTGTCTCTGGTGAAGCCTTCTCGCCGCCCCTGAGCCTCTGGCCTGTACCCCAGTTCTATATGCACAAATAAATAAATCTTTAAAAAAAAATTCCTAGACTTACCTTCAGTAACACTTTGCTGGGGATGGGGGAGGGGGGGAGGGAACTCTGGTTTTTAATTACAATATCAGATTATATTATGATCTTTAAATCCTTGTGAGAAACAATGAACTGGAATCAAAACAATGTCTCAAAATATAAGTGGAATTTCCAAATCTGCCCAAGTCAGGAATTAAATCTTTTTTTTTAATAATGTGGGAAAATCATTTTTAAAAACAATTTTGAAAGTACTATAGAAGATAAAAATCAATTTCCACATTTTGGCATTCATAAGACAAGAAGCACATAAGGACTGGTGAGGCTGGCAGATATTAACAGTCTATCCTAAGCATGAGCTTACAAAAGAAATACACACTGATTTGTATAAGATCAAAATAAATCATTAGCAACCTAAGTACATGATTGATTATATAGTTCTGCCACAACTTCTTAGGTATATAAGCTTTTTTCCTGTATATAACAGTAA